AATTTCCCATGCACAGAAACGTGATGCTCGACTGGGAGCAGTTACCGAATAAGAAATTTCCGATGATCTTCCACGCAGTGTACGGTAAAGACGAGAGGGAAGAATATAGTCCTTCATTCTTTAACATTCCTGAGGTAGACACTATAGAGCGCTACCTGAAGATGCTACTCGATGACAATGTGAGGAGCAGACGATTGAAACACTTGAAACCAGAGATGATTGGCATCATTTCTCCTTACAAGAGACAAGTAAGTCGATCATGTGGCCGCATTTCAGCAACAGCCACGATTACAAAAGCAGTAACAACATCAAGCCAGGATTAGCTAGGATTGGAATGGCGCCACTTTGGAGCGAGAATTAATTTCCGTCATATTCTGTGATCTCCATGTCTTTCGCTCTACTCCTTCGGGAGATTCTATTATGATCGATAAGGACTGTAGCAAAAACTATAATAGGGTCTCCAACACTTGTGTTGAACATATCCGAAAGGAAACGAAACCTCAGTTATATCATCGAAACATAATTTGCGAATAAGAAATGAAACACAGTTTCTAAACTTGTCAAAGTCATCAAAACTTAGCCTCTTCCAAACACCTTCAGTTAGTTGGGGCGCAGGACAAAAAACGGCGCGAGCGAAAAAAGGAGAGAGAGGCTTGGTNCACGAAGAGTGGAGTTACATTGGCAGTATGATTCCATTGACTGACATAAAAATTTCCCATGCACAGAAACGTGATGCTCGACTGGGAGCAGTTACCGAATAAGAAATTTCCGATGATCTTCCACGCAGTGTACGGTAAAGACGAGAGGGAAGAATATAGTCCTTCATTCTTTAACATTCCTGAGGTAGACACTATAGAGCGCTACCTGAAGATGCTACTCGATGACAATGTGAGGAGCAGACGATTGAAACACTTGAAACCAGAGATGATTGGCATCATTTCTCCTTACAAGAGACAAGTAAGTCGATCATGTGGCCGCATTTCAGCAACAGCCACGATTACAAAAGCAGTAACAACATCAAGCCAGGATTAGCTAGGATTGGAATGGCGCCACTTTGGAGCGAGAATTAATTTCCGTCATATTCTGTGATCTCCATGTCTTTCGCTCTACTCCTTCGGGCGATTCTATTATGATCGATAACGACTGTAGCAAAAACTATAATAGGGTCTTCAACACTTGTGTTGAACATATCCGAAAGGAAACGAAAACTCAGTTATATCATTGAAACATAATTTGCGAATAAGAAATGAAACACGGTTTCTAAACTTGTCAAAAGTCATCAAAAATTAGCCTCTTCCACACACCTTCAGTTAGTTGGGGGGCAGGGCAAAAGACGGTGAGCGAAAAAAGGAGAGAAAGGCTTGGTCCGTTCCCACGACGCCCATCTCCCCCCAATTTTTGGCTCGCTATTTTTCACGTTGCGCCCCAACTAACTGAACACCTGGAAGAGGCTATCTTCACCAACCAATAGCGTAGCTCCATCTTTCTGTATATAAACCACTCACAACCCACAATTCCTCGATTCGCTCCGACGAAGGGCTAACTCTCGAAACGTCAGCTTTCCAATCTCTTTACGGTGGCCAATTCACATTATCAACCCAGTTGATAAAACCAAATCACCCTATCAAAACTTTGCTTTCCCGCGTACGAGTTAAAAAGCGCTGTGGAAATACTATTGGCTACAGTTTTCATAGTAGTATAGTGACTAAATCAAGATTGGTAACTGCCGAATGCTGTCTGCTTCATAATATGTCAATACCCAGTGGTGATTTCATCCCCCTCTTAATTAGGTTCAGAAGATTCAGAAGATGATTGAAAAGAGACGGTTCGGTGCTGGGATTAAAGTTGGCAGCGTGGAAGAGTTTCAGGGACAGGAAAGAAGAGTGATTATCTTGTCAACTGTTCGAAGCACTAACAAAGAGTATCTGGATATGGACAGAGATTTTCATCTTGGATTTTTAGATAACCCGAAGGTAACATTACATAAGCGGAAGTGAAATCAGTCGTTCCAATTTCCAGTGAATGATCATTTGTTCTTAGTCTTTCTTAATTTGTTTGATATCCTAATTCTTCTAGTCACTGCTTTGAATCTGTTGAATATATTTCTTGCCATAGGAACATTTAGCTACTAAGTAGTGCACACCGGTGAAGCTCTTTCAATCAAATGTCTTCTTAGATTTAAAATGATAGTTAGATGGTGACTTTCTAACTTTCTTGCCGAACTACACGTAGTTCATCAACAACAGACTGTAATTTGTTCAAGCAAAATGGCTGACTTCCAAATTTTACGGATGGACTTACATTCAGAACTCTGATGAAAAATGTCACTTTTTATCGCCGTATTTTTGCAACTTACCACAAAATAAAGGAAAATTTACCTCAAGAGGAATCAGCTCGCTTTCGATTGTTTCATAAGCATTAGAATCAATTGGGTAACGCTGCCCAGCCGTAAAACGTAAAACCTCCTCTCTAATTTTCTTTCAGAGATTCAATGTGGCCATTACTCGTGCCCAGGCTCTCTTGATCTTAATAGGGAACCCAGACATGCTTTGCATGGACACCAACTGGACAAGGTTAGCCGTAGACGTTTTCCTTCAATCCTAACTGAGTATATCTTTGCGATAAAATTCTGAGAATGAGGCATACTTGATTACTTTGATTGGTACATTTGACGACTGTAAAAATCGCTCAGCAGGTTTATTTTTATCGTTAGGTTTATCTTTAACTGTTTTTCTACAACTTAACGATTATGGCACAGAAATTATAATTCCCTTTCTACTCCGGAACTTTACAATATAACATCAACATAATGCTATTACTATGCACGTTGACCAGAAGCAACAACAGATCTTAACTGTTTAG